ATTGGACGACGTGGAGGGGACGACCCCCTCCAAAACGGAAAAAGAGACTTCAAGCAGAGGAGGAACCGGTACTGTAGAAGAACCGGCCTCCCCAGAGAGAGTGAATGTGCCATGAGAGAAAGTGATGGATGAATGGGACACGACTGGATCTTCTGGCGAGCTGAAAGGAAACCGCTCGAGACGACCTTTGTCTTAAGAGGGGATCGGATGTAACGGACGAAGAATAGTCGCTGCAAGAAGAGTAGCCGAAACAACAGGAGACACTGCAAGCACAGCTACGAGACGGAAAAGGAACGGGGTGCACCGTTAGGCTATTCGGGACGAAGAGCCTTAAGGAGGGAGCAGTGTAACATGTTGCGCAACGGAGAACCCCTCCCTACCCAGCAGCAACGTGGCAACTCAGGCCACAGGCGCGTGGCGGTAACATAGCACTCCCTCCCACCCCTCTGCGGTGACGTAACGCGCAACGCTACGTACCCGTAATCAACTTCCTACTGTGACGTGGAACGCAACAGGCACCACTGAGTATATATAAGGGAACTGCACAGCAGCTACCAGTCAGTTTTAAAGTAACAGTCGCCGAGTCGAGTTATAACGTGGCCATCGCCGACGATAATTCCGAGCAAGCCTACGAGCTAGTGTGTTATCAACAGTTCTCCAGTCAGCCAACTACTGTTGAAGTATAGCAGCCGTCGCGGAAAGAAGATCCGGACGTGGGTGTCATTGTGTAATTGGGAGCGTGTGATACAGTGATACCTAGCTCCCCTACTGTCAACGTGTATACTACTGAACACAGAGTGAACTGATTTGCGCATAGGGTTATAAATCGTGAAACCCTGCAACAGTGTTAACAGATTAATGCGATTAGGGTTATAAAGTGTGAAACCCCGCAACTGTGTAATAATTAATTGTAGCCGTTTCTTGTAGATTGTTGAATAAACCAATTAACGATCTCTACGGCGTATTCAGTAACGAAACACGTTACAATATCATGGATCCCTGATGCTGTCGCAGTGGGTCGGTGTGCAGCTGTTCCCAGTGTTATATTCGGCAAAGTAGCTGCGCTAGAGCTTAGAAAGTCTGTAGCATTTCACTGTAGAACCAATTAGAGAGCCTTTGTTTTCTTTTGTTACTTCTTGTTGGATTCTAAAAGTCTGGCTATGACCGCCACACCTGATCAAGGTGTGATATGTACTATTTGCTTTGCAGGTGAACATACCACCAGGAATACTGCTAATACTCCTATCGAATGCTGGGTTTTTTATACCTCGGCGGTTGCTATGCAATGCTTTGAACAATTTGTTATGTTTCATCTCCTAGGAAACGCGTTTGTTTGCCCCAGGCAACGGCCCAGTGTTATTGCGTTGTCGCTATGGAAACTCTCCATATAATATCTTAAACGTGGAGACACACTGTAGGCTGTTAACTTCCTATGCAACGGTCTGTTCTAGCGTTTCCATAGAAGTAACTCTTCTGAAATCCAAACATGTGACAATACGTAAGTTTTGAGGTTTTCACGGCGACGACTATGAAGAAAGTCGTCTCCTGGGTTTTGGCGCCGTGTATTCTTTGTTTTGGCCGTTCCCTGAAGAGATGTGGCAACAACTACGACCACAATATTCCAGAACACCGAGACTCTAGGGGTTGCCCAAAATACACAAACCTGACGTACCATTAAGACCAATTATCAGTACCATTGGCTCCCCCGCCTATCGCTTGGCCAAACATTTGGCTGGCCTACTTAACACCTACACCTGTGACTCCCCACACCACGTGAGAAACTCTGCCGAATTTGTCCACACCATAAAATCCCTCCGATTAAACCCTTATGATATGGTTATCTTCGATGTGGTGTCGCTTTTCACCAAAGTGCCAATCAAGGTCACTATGGATCTGCTAGGAGAAGACTTCGCCGAAGATGTTTTGAGACTCTTTCGCCATGTCCTAACCACATCTTACTTCAGTTTCGATGGCCAGTTCTACGAACAGACTGACGGTGTAGCCATGGGCTCTCCAATATCTCCGGTCATCTCCAACTTCTACATGAAGGACTTTGAGGAGAGGGCGCTGGATTCGGCCCCACACAAGCCCATATGCTGGTTTCGATATGTGGACGACACCTTCGTCATCTGGATCCAAGGACCTGACAACCTGAAGGGTTTCCTGAACCACTTAAACAGTATCAACCCATGCATTCAGTTCACCATGGAAACCGAAAGTGAAGGCCACCTCCCCTTCCTAGCCCTTATCGTGCCTGGCGGCCGCTCTAGTGGCCGTCCCTTAACTGCCAGGCCATTTAAATTCGTTTCAGATACTATTACATGCTTATTTATAATAAATTCTACTCATCCCATTTTTGGAGTCAGATAACTGGAAAATTTCCTGGTTGTTGCATGATGAATGTATATTCTTGTGCAGGAACAATTTTATTTCTATCACAGC